GGGTTAGAACCCAAGAATGCCTGGGGTGTGTGTGTGGGGGGTGGGCTTTGGGTTGATTTTTAACTTTTTTTTAAAGCAAAAGCTTGTTTTAAAATGAAAACAAACCTTACAGAAATAAGAAACAGGGAATGTTAAAGCTGGAAAGGGCTCTAGTTGAAACTTTTCATTTTACAGATGAAAAGTCAGTTTCTTCATCTGTAAAATGAAGAGGTTGGGAGAAATGAGATCAAATATCTTCCACTTCCAAGAATGCATAAAATCTAGAAAGGCTAAATGGTACCCAAAGTTGCACAGCTGGTGCCAGACTTGGAAGTAGATTTGGCTCCTAGGTTTCTCTTTATGGCTGTGAGTCAATTCTGTATTTTAAAAAGTTTAGTCAACCCAATTGTTTGACACAATGCAGATAAATATCCATCTTACCAAGTTGGATTTATTTTTCTATTTCAATCATTGTTCCTGTGTCATGTAAACATAACCTCATGGATATCACCAGCCACAGAAGGAGCAAAGCTTTAACATGATACAACTGTTCTTGGAGCTGGCTGATTAACTCAGTAGAATGCAACAAACTTGGCCTTTGGCATTGGGACCAGGAAACAATGGATGCAATGCTTTTCAACATGCAGATTTGTGTAAATGTGACAGGAAATGGGACCTGACCATTAAAAGCAAAATGTCCATATATGGACAGAAAAGAACAACCTTAAGTAACTTGAAATCACTGATGGGTTGAAAATATTTCATCTTGAGTTCATGCTTCCCATCACTACCAAGGAACTTCTACATTTCCCTGGGGCTATGAGAGTGTAGCATGAGATCTTCCAGCAATGACCTGGTGGCTGGGTCATCTCTAACCCTGAAGATGGAGCAGTTTGTCCCTCTACACTATTCTGAGGCTCTGATCCTCTAATCTACCCCACAAATTCCTAATCTGAGACCTACTTTTATTTCATCTTCTTCCAGGAAATGAGTCAACATCATACATTAAAACATTTTTTCCTCCCCCATACCATAAACAAAATAAAACGTAAAAAACTTGGAAAAATATTTGTAACTTATATTGCAGACAAAAGGTTAATATCTCTAATATGTTAAAGGCTTCTAAAGCTTGAAAAATAAAAATTAATAACCCTACTTGAGCAAAGCCATCTTATAAAGGGTTCATTTTCAGGAAAAAATGCATATGTCCCTTAAACATATGAACAAAGATTTAGCCTTACTCACAATAAGAGAAGTACTAAGTCAAACCAGAGGGAGATACAAATCCTCACCTACTATATAAGTAAAAATCCAAAACTGTGATAGAATTCTGCATTGGCAAAGCTGTGAAGAATAGGTACTGTCATATGTTGCTGGTGTGAAGGCAAAATGGCACAAACTTTATGGAGAAGAATTTGGCTTCTAGGAAAATTACACCTAGGAAAAATCCACTTACCTTTTAACTTGTTTCTATAAATTTGGACCAAAGAAACACTGGCAAAATGTGGAAAGGTATTTATTTTGGTGTTATTAGTTACAACACCATTCATAATTGCAAAGGATAAGAAAAAAACTAAAGGTCTATCGACAGCTGGCTGAATAAACCATGGAGTACTCCGCAGTTATAAAAAAGAATGAGAGAGATCTTTACATATAGCTATGGAGTACTCTCTAAAATACTGTTAAAGAAGAGTAAGGTGAAGAACCATGTGTATAATATCATATAGTAGAGTATGTGTATGTTTGTGTATTTACTTAGATTAAAAATAGAAGGGTAAGTGAAAAACCAACCAAAATGGTTGGAACGTTAGGGTAGAGGGGACAGGAATAGAAGCCAGATGTCTCTTGTTTTGGTTCTATGGTTTTCACTTTGGAATTCTGTAGCTCTTTAATTTTAACACAAAAGTCAAAAACAAAATGAAACAAATGAACATTATTGTATATTCACAAGATAAAATCCACAGAGGAATGATTTCAAGAGCTCTTAAAACAGTAATTTTTAACTGTTCATCCCTAGTCAGATATATCCAAAGGTTAAAAAGAACCACAATGAAATCTTAAGCAGTTTTCAATAATCATATTTTTAAATAATAATATGCATATTATAATTTTGAAAGTGTTTATTTTAAGGAAATAAATTATATATGTAATAGGAAGAAGAAAAGTAGATAGAAGAAAAAATAAAAATTTAAGGCAGTTAAGTAAAATTTCTGTAATCTTAAATTTGAGCTAATATTAACATAAATTTGTGATATTATTTCTCCTTCAAAACAAATAAAAATATCTAGAAACAATGACCAGTCCAATAGCAATGAAAACCCCTAGTGCCCAAATTTTGGTCTCTAAATAAATTTCCCTCTTATAAATGGCTGGTTCCAAGTCAGGGTACAGGAAATACACAAAATAAGGTTGGAACATCTAGTCCTACCCAAAGACAAGAAACCTGTGAAAGACCATTGGGGTCATGACAAAAGAATATTGGAGAAACTTGAAGAAGCTCTCAGTTGTCAAGTTGGAGTATTCTGAACATCAAAAAGAATAATGACAGCAGTAGATTGAAACATATCAACCATGTTAAAATCCATGTATTGAAATAATACTTTAAAAAAGAAAAATCTCCTTGATCATATGTGGAGGATGCTAAGGAAACGATTCATTATTTTGAAAATTAGTAAATAAAGGGAAAGAATCAATCATTTATCCTGCTTTTTTGTTCAAATGATATCATGGGGTACTTAAGTAGTTGATCTGGAAAGCTGCTTATTTATAGGAGAGTACAAGCTAATAAATACAAAAGGTAGGATAGAATTAGCATACCACTAGCTTGTAACCCCTAATTAACACTGGACTAACTAAGCGGTAACCATCAATACATACTAAAATCATTAGCTAAAATGGGGAATTCTAAAAGGTAATGCTTCCCAAACTTTGATGTGCGTGTGAATAACTTTAGGATATTGTTAAATTCTAGAATCCAATTCGGTAGATCTGGGGTTGAGCCCGAGATTCTGCATTTACAACAGACAAACACATGGTGCCAATACCACTGGTCAGAGGGCTATTCTAAGAAAGACAAAACAGCCCCTGACGTTTGGGGGCTGACCTAGTATTGTCATCTGAGCCTTGGTGTTCTCCTGCTGCACACAGACAATTTCACAGAAGAACATCAGACAAGGTCACTCTATGACCATGATGGATCAAGACAAAAAGAGGGCTGTCAGAGTGGCTCAGTCAGTTAAGTGTCCAGCTGTTGATTTCGGGTCAGGTCATGATCTCAGGGTCGTGGGATTGAGCTGCGAGTTGGGCTCACATGCTGGGTGTGGAGCCTGCTTAAGATTCTCTCTCTCTCTCCTTTTGCCCCTCTCCCCTGAGTGCTCTCTCTTTCTCTCAAATGAATAAATAAATAAATCTTTTAAAAAAGACAAAAATAAGACTACTACATAATCATGTCTTAACAGAAATAATGAACACTGTCTAAACTACAAAATTAACTAAATATCCCTCTATCCTGGCTATTCTAAGAGGCCACTACTTTACCAATTTTAACTTTAGGTTCAATCCAGTCTTCCTTCATTCTACATGAGACTTACTAAAATGCCCAATTACTGCTGTTTCCTGACAGCCTCTTATCCAGAGCAAAGCTCCAATTCCTTAAACCCTCCCTAAAATCACCAAACATAAGCCCAAGTCTGTAATGAATCCTTTCTAACACTCTCTGAAAGCTTCCATGTTTCCTCTGGTGTGCATTTTCCCTCATTATAACATGTAATAAACACATCTTGTTTAGCTACAGGTGTGTTCTGGTGGCTTTTGTTGGAGAAACTGTACAATAGTGTGATGAGTCAGGTTGACAGCTGAGTCACTAATCACTATGTGATGTTTTGCTATAGAAACCTATAAAGTAATCTTGCCCAAAATGATGAACATAAATCTCATTAAACCTCTAGATTTAACCATCAGTTTTACAAGAAATATGTGGTATAAGGGAACATTTTAAGGAGCCATATTCAGTTCAACCACAAGACAAATTGCCTATTTTTCCCCCAAACAAATAAATGACAAAAATAGAAGATGGAGGAGGAACATATAAATTAAAAGAGACTCACTAGTCATATTAATCAATTGTAATATGCAGCCCTTATTTGGCCCTATTACACAAACTAATAATGATAATGATAAAAAGACATTTGAGGATATTTGAACACAGACTAGCTCTTTGATAATATTAAAGAATAATTATAAATATTTTTAGGTTTCATAATAGCAATGCTCATTTTTCAACGTATTTATAAATAAAATGATATAATGTCTGAGATTTACTCTAACATAATCCAGTCATGATAAAAGGGAGTATAGGGGGGTATAGACAAAAATATTGGCCATATTGGTAATTGCTGAAGGGTATATGACAATTCTTTTTATTATTCTCCCTACTTCATAGTAAACAATTTTTTTTTTTAAGATTTAATTTATACACTTGAGAGAGAGAGTGAGAGAGAGCACGAGCAGGGGCGAGGGGTAGAGGGAGAGAGAGAAGCAGACTTCCCACTGAGCAGGGAGCCCAATGCTGGACTCAAACCCAAGACCCTGGGATCATGACCTGAGCCAAGGGCAGACACTTAACCAGCTGAGCCACCCAAGGTGCCTGTAAACAATCTTTTTGAAAATATTTTTTACCCTTTAATTCAGTAGATCATTTTTGAAAGAAGACAAGTTGGATAAAAAATAAGGTCTATAGCTCAAAATGTCTATACATTCTAGAGAAATAAGCTGTAATGAATTTTAAATTCTGAAATTCCCACTACTGAAATTGTTTTCAGATCCATTTTTTTAAAGCTATTAGGATATTCACCTATTTCTTTTCTTTCTTTCTTTAACCACTAATACATGTATCAACTGCAAGTAAAGAGGAATAAGGAATTATTATGATGTAGACTCAGGTGATGGTCTTTAGAGAAACATTTAATTTAAATTTTTGATTCTTAAAAAGAAAAAAAAAAACATACTATTTGAGCAATTACCTGGATCTGTAGCTGACATCAGTGAACCAAAAAACAAACAGTCAGTGAAATGGAAGTCTCCATTTTTCAACTGGCCAGCATATACCATAGCTTTCACAAAGCCATACATAATTAACCTGTTGAAGAGAAAAATAAGATCTTCAAATTCAAGTTGAATCCTGTGCAAACCCATGCTTTCATAGCTAACATTCTAATGTGCTTACTGAATACGCATCATGCACAAATTACCACCACTCTGCCAATTCATGGCCATGCTAGCTCTCTGTACATTGTCTAAATCTCTCGACTATGAAAGACACTTTAACCAAATATCCCAATTCATTTACCTGCAAAAAGCTAACAATATTTTATAGCATATTTCAATGAAAATAATTAAATCTCAAGGATATAAAAAATAATCTGTCAAATATGTCATAGTAATTATGCCCACAAATACAGCAGCTGGGTTAACATCTGTAAATGGATTGCTTTTCAGTTTTCATTGTTTTGTGTGGTAGGGATGTCTGAAAAGTGTCCAAATTTCAAGTCTGTCACTGCAATGAGAAGGATTTTGGTCACACACAGCACACCCAGTCAACCAGTTACTTTACAATAGATGAGTCTCTACTACTGCTAATGTCAAGACTTCCACACTGGGTACAGAATCACTGCTAGGTAAGAGCTCCTGTAACTTCAGGATGCTGTTGAAAATGAATCCTGAAAGGTTTACATTTTGATCTTGCAAGGATAGCTATTCTTTCCATGAGATTATAAAAGGTTTGTTTATAAGCTTACCAAACTCACACCATGGAACACAGCTTGTCTGTCATGGTCATCATTTGCCACCCTATAGCTTTTAAATTGTATTTATTTATTTAACTGACTGATTTTTGCCAAAATCCTCATAGAGGAAATACAGAGATTGGTGAACTGGACCATAGTAAAATCACTATAAGTGACTCTAAGAGTCTTTAGAAATTCTAGATCCTCAGGTCAATAGATGGATGTTTAAATATTCACATGCTTTGAAAGCTAATTTCTTGAAGAATGTTCTAAGGTTGTGATCATGATTAAAAAGGCTAGAAAACAGATATTAGAAATTATATTGTCAATGCAAATGCAGATATTTCAGATTCTGTTAAAAAAATTTCTCCATGAGAAAATATTTTGGACACATCTGCAGTTAAATCTAGGTTCTACCACTCACCAGCTATACGGTTTTAGGACGTTACTAAAACTTTCTGAGTCTCAATATCCTTATTAATGAAACAGAAATAACAATAATAGTTAGTCCATAGAATTGTTTTAAGGATTACCTGAGACAATGTACATTTGGTTTCTGGCACACAGGACATTCAAAATGAGGTTATTATTACTGCTAATAATATTTATCAAAATAGGTAATATTTACTTACTATTCATATTTCTTCACATGCTTTAACTCATTTAATCCACACATTAATCCTATAAGGAAACTACTATTTGCATTTTACAGATGAGAAAACTGAACACAGTGTCATCAGGTAACTTGCTTAAGATGACACAGCTTTTAAGTTGCAAAACCCAGATTTGAACTGTGGAGAACTGGCTCCTGAGCCTGGGCTTTTAACCACTACATAATATTGCCTAGATGAATAGTTCTATATTTTACATTATATATTATCCCATATAATATATTCACAGCTATCCTATTAGGTGGTGGTTCTAGGTTGTACAAAGGTGCAACAATGGGGTATCCCTAAGAACTTGGAAATAATACTACCCTCTGAGTTATAATTATTAAGACATAATGGGTTTGAGCAGAGAGGGCCAACATCACTGTGAAAAATGTGGACTATAGTGGGGAGGCTGAATCTTAACTAGGCTGAAGGTATTAACACATCTGAGAAAAGGTATGTCATGGGACACAGCATGATTGTTGTGAAAAGGCAAGTCCAAGAGGCCTCAATCATGGCAGCTTACTCACACTCATGCTGGGAAGGGAATTCTGCCAGTTACCAGGTCATTCAGCCTCTTGACAGGTATAGGGTAGCTTCATCCAGTTTATTTGTTCATTCAATAGACATTTATTATTTAACCCCAACTGTGTGTCAAGCTCTGTGCTAGGTGCTTAAGATATTGATGAGTGAACAAAACAAAGATCCCTGCCCTTATGAAGTATACATTTTACCTGATAGACAGCGATAAAAATTATCATAAATTTGAATTATGACTGTTAATTATATCATTCTCTTAATTAGAATCTGCAAGTGGGATCAACACTGGGACAGTCTGGACAGTTACAACATTCACAGGAATGCTCTTCAATGGTCATCCCTTCAGCCTCTTTGGGTATTAACCCAACTTCACCAGAGTCCTTTCTCATTTGAGCTACACTTCAAATATTGAACATCAACCAGCACTGGAATCAATATAAACTTTAGGACCTGTGACAATATTTCTGAATTTTATACCCATTAGTTAATTTTACAGGCTGGGAATCTAGGATTAGGATTAAAATGACTTTTCCCATATTGCACAGAAGCCATTAGATTGGGTAAAATAAAAAATATATACATATATACTACCCAGGCCTGGGGATATTATATAGAAACTAGAAGTCTCATACACTATTGATGGAAATTAAAGCCTTAATTAAGGTATCAATTTTTAAATATTCTATAGCTTATTAAATGGTTGCCTACAAATTTATGCCAAAAATTAATTAAATATGTACCAAAAGGTGTATATTCAAATTATATGAGATTTCTGTTGTTTATAAAAGTGAAAAATTCAAAGAAATCTAAATATCCAGTGAATAAATTACAAAACACATATATATGGGCTAATCTGCAATGAATAATATTATGTACAAGACTTTATATTAGACGCAGAAAAGTAAATTGATAAAGCAAATTATAAAGTGGTAATAATAATTTCTAATTTTATACAAAATTTAACATACTTAGGCATACATACAAACAGGAAAAGACAAGGAGTATATAGTCTAGAATGTTAGTGGTGGTTAAATAATGGAATTAAATGGTGACTACTTTTCTTTTTGCATTTCTGCATTCTTCCAGTTCTTTTAAAAAATAGTAATAATAAAAAACAAATAACAATATACATTAGCAAGTGCTCTTATGTGACACAATAGATATTTATCATGTCACTTAATCTTCAAAATTCTATGAGCTGGGTGCTATAATTATTCCTTTTTACAAATGAGAAAATTAGAACTCAGCAACATTAAATAACGTGACTAAGTCACAGAAGTTAGCTCCTTAACCACCAACTCTGTAAAGCTTTTGAGTTGCTTTGAAATCAGCAGAAACACACATGATGTACACACGCACACACCTACACACACGATTTGTTTATTTATTTCAAATCAACTACTGGACATGAAATAACTATAATTCTAATAGCTTACTTGAGATAATACCAAAAAAGGAGAAAAAAGAAGTCCAGTTCAGTTCAAGCTTAATACTAATAACAATGGTCATCATCACAGGTAATTATAATGATCCAATAATTAGTGTTAATATACCATGTGCCATACCCTTTCTTTATAAATGGTAGCTATTTTAATTGTTGTTACGTTATTAATAACAACTAGTTATAACTATATTAATTGGGAAGCTAAAAAAACGAAACCATTAGCAACCACCATATTCTCACAGAGCGGTACATTCTATCAGCACTTCACAGAAAGTATTTCAGATGGCTCAGGAAACAGGGGCGATGTGGTTTGATGGGGACAGGGAATCTGGTGAAGTCCAATGCACGCAATGCTGTGAAGATGATGGACCTGAATAAGATGTCCTCCAGGGGTCAGTCTGTGGTTAGTGACAGCCTGGGTTACAGGGATGGGCAGAAGCAAAACTGCCTCATAAAACCCAGAACTGTTGATAACATTGATTTTGACAAATATCCACTTAGTGCTATTCTTTGAAAAGCAAAGTGCTTGAGCTATGGAGGATACAAAAGTAGAAATCCATAACCTGCTCTCAAAGAGCAGAGTATTACAGGATGGCAGTCTTGTCACTGATGCTAAAAGAAAGCACTGGGTAAAAGAGAATTTGGGGAAATGCCCAACACAATACTCTACACACTCACTTTATTAAGTATTTATGACATGTGAACTGATTTTAAATTTCATGAGCTTATTTTACACTATTAAATCTCCACACCTAAAGACTTATTGTGAAAAAAGTTCCATATAGTTAATAGTCTCCTGTGGTGTGCCTCCCTCTCTCTTTTTTTTCTTCCTTCCTCTGTGTTCATCTGTTTTGTTTCTTAAATTCCACATATGAGTGAAATCAAATGGTATTTGTCTTTCTCTGACTGACTTATTTCACTCAGCATAATACACTCTAGCTTCATCCACATCATTGCAAATGGCAAGATATCATTCTTTTTAATGGCTGAGTAATATTCCTGTGTGTGTGTGTGTGCCACCTCTTCTTTATCCATTCATCAGTCAGTGGACATTTGCGCTCTTTTGTAATTTGGCTATTGTTGATAATGTTGCTATAAACATCGGGGGCATGTGTCCCTTTGAATCAGTATTTTTGTATCCTTTGGGTAAATACCTAGTAGTGTAATTGCTAGGTCATAGGGTAGTTCTATTTTTAACTTTTTGAGGAGCCTCCATACTGTTTTCCAGAGTGGTTTCACCAGTTCGCATTCCCACCAACAGTGTTAAGAGGGTTCCCCTTTCTCTGCATCCTTGCCAACATCTGTTGTTTCCTATGTTGTTAATTTTAGCCATTCTGACTTGCGTGGGGTGATAGCTCATCATAGTTTTGATTTATATTTCCCTGATGATGAGTGATGTTGAGCATCTTTTCATGTGTCTGTTAGTCATCTGGATGTCTTCTTTGGAAAAAGCTCCACTCATGTCTTCTGCCCACTTCTTAACCGGATTATTTGTTTTTTGGGTGTTGAGTTTGATAAGTTCCTTATAGATTTTTGGATACTAACCCTTTATCAGATATGCCATTTGCAAATATCTTCTCCCATTCCATAGGTTGCCTTTTAGTTTTGTTGATTGTTTCATTAATAGACAGCAGAAGCTTTTCATCTTGATGAAGTCTCAATAGTTCATTTTTGCTTTTTGTTTCCCCTTCCCCCAGAGACAAGTCTAGTAAGGAAT